GTGTTTCGCGAATCAGGATTCCGTCGAGTTTTTCGATTATCGCAAGGTTTTTGTGGTGTCCGGATGAGATCAGTGTGAAAACGGAAGTGCTTTTTTCTGTTCGCTTGAATGCCCGATGTTTTCGTGAAAGAAGACGTTTGACGGGTTTTCATTGGGTTCCACGCGATGCAATCTCTCGAGTTACATGGTTCCCGAAACCCCGCGAGTGAAGTAGTGCAATGTGTGTGATTTTCAAGAAAATCCAACACTTAGGGTTTGATTTCTTTAGAATTCGTTTTCTCTGTTCCTTTTCCGCAAAAAGAAGGAGAAAAATGTGTGTGATCATCAAGTGCGTTCAAATAGGATTGTGCAATTTTCTCTTGTTCAAGAATACTTCATCACCAGGAGTAAGAAAGCTCACTTGTGAATGATTTATTTAGCAGTGATCCTAAATACCAGTGCACTCTTGGTGATCTTGAATATTTGTTCGTGTTTCTCTTTTTGGTGCATTTTTGAAAATGAATTCTGTGTATGTGAGAGTGTTTGGTGATTCGAAATCGGTTCGGACATTATTTCGTTCGGAGTCTGCGTCAAACATCCAAGTTTATCGTGAATTGTGCCCGTGGGAAATCAACACGATTGATTTTCAATTGACGTTTTCGCTTTCAGTTGCAGGAATAAAGGTGATTTCGAGCGTAGAACTGAAAGAATAATGGACACGAAAGACAAGGGGAAGGAGCGTTCGCATATCCTGACTCTGAAAGGTATACTGTCTATATAAGGATGCTCCATTTATTTTTTCTATCGATGAATTTTGTAAAGCTTTGTATTTTTATTTTTGATTATTTTCTTGACAATTTGTGATGTGTTCATTTTTTAGTGATGAGGTTGACGAGACCGTCGAGTTTACAAACGCAGCCTGGACCTGTGGATGGTGTCGAATGTCTCAAGTCGGTCGGGTCGAATCCATTCGCTGATTCCTGGATTGATGCAAAAATCGACGACTCGGATAAAAATGCGT